GGGAGGACAGTAGGTCCCCCCCCCTCATTATCTTCATGGCCCCCACCCGCCGCTCAGGGTGGGGGTGGGGGGGAGGACAATAGGTCCGCCCCCCCTTATTGTAATTTATGTCTTTTTTTTCAACAGTGAGCAGCCATAGGCTGCTCACTGTTTAGTAGACATGCCCCTACACGCGGTATAGCGAGTAGGGGCATTTGGGAGATTTTAATATTGACCCCCATAGAGTGAGAGGGGGTACTGGGGGGGCTTATGAAGTGGTGGGGAGCACTGCTCCCTGCCGCTTCTATAGTTACATATTACAAGGAGGGAGCTGCACGCCGGTAGCTCCCTCCTTGTAATACACTGAACGAACAAACTAACACTGATACATAGTGTTTGTTTGTTCAGCTGATATTTCTATTCACTCATTCGTCTGTCTGATGAATGAATGAATAGATGAAATTCCCGTTCGCATGTCCAGGTGTTTCACTGGGCATGTGCGGGAATGTCACAGTCTGCCTAGTGTGGGCTGATGACGTGTCCCACAGGGACTTCACCTACCAACACAAAGATGGCTGCGCCCTGAATCAAGATCAGGGCAGAAAATAAGGATTAAAAAATAGGTAATCTGGGGGGCTTAGGGGCATTTGGGGGTGACTAGTGGGTCAATTGGATGTAGTGGAGGCGGGAGGGGGGTTAAAAAAAAAACGGGATTCGGCATGACAGTGCCGCTTTAAGGGTGGCGGCTCACCTCATAACAGGATTCCCTAACAAAAAACAGTGTTTTATTAAAATATTAGTTCTTGATTGGAGTAACCCTCTAATATTTTCTCCATTAAAACATTTCTTAAATTAACCCTATAGGGTCAGGAACACACCTGTATTTAGGTGGCTTGCCTCCCTTAACCCCCTTAGAAGGGGTTAAAACTCACGTTATTTCAAGCGCCTTGCGAGTCTGCTGGAGCTGGCCCTGCCCCCAATCCACTTCTTTGGTGACCTCATCACCATAGGGAAAGCATTGGATTGGCTGAAATCGACATAGAGGCTGGACCAAATTACATTTTGGCCAATCAGCACCTCTTCATAGAGGTGCATTGAATCAATGCATCTCCATGAGGAAAATTCAGCATCTCCATGCAAAATGTGGAGACACTCAACAGCGGTGCTTCCTACTGTGCAGCACTGCCCCAGGAAGCATCTCCAGTGGCCATCTGAGTAGTGGCCACTTGAAGGTTTCCCTAAGGGGGCAATGGAAACACTGCCTTTTCTCTATTTCAGCAATATTCAGATTTCATTGTGGTAGTTTAAAAGTCAGGGATTGTCACTGTTATCACTATAACTATGGGTTTTGGGCAAGGCCCACCTTGGTTTGTATAACTCCAATCACACGCTGCATGCAGGGCAAAAGGTGGACCAAATATGGAATGGGTGTGTACAAGAGAGCAGCAGAACAGTTAATAGCTATGGAAATACTAATAATATATATGTATACAATGTATTTTTTAAGGTTACTACAATTGTTTAAATTATTTTTTTCACTTAAATCTACACTCATTACCTCTTACCAGAAGTACCCTTAGGAAAGACATCTAACGATATATATCTTCCAATCTCAAATCTTTATACATTATAAGCTGATTTTAAATAAATATTACCTTTCTAAAATTATTAAGCACTATGGAATATGTTGGCATTTTATAAAAGCTAACACATATACACAGGTGTGAAAAAATGTGGGGATCTGAATACAGTATACATACCATAGGCGTGCGCAGCCTATTGCATTAGGTTGTGCACCCTAAAGCACAAACACACGCCGCGCGTGTGTGTGTGTATATATATATATATATATATATACATATATATATATATATATATATATATTCACACACACTCACAGACACACACTCACACTCACAGAAACACACACACACTCACACACACTGACACACACATACTCACACACTCACAGACACATACTCACACACTTACAGACACATACTCACACAATCACAGACACACACTCACACACACTGACACACACATACTCACACACTTACAGACACATACTCACACAATCACAGACACACACTCACACACACTGACACACACATACTCACACACTCTCAGACACATACTCACACACTCACAGACACTCACACTCACAGACACACACATACTCACACACTCACAGACACACACTCACAGACACACACACACACACACTCACTGACACACACACACACACTGACACACTGACACATACTCACACACTCACAGACACACACAAATAATTATATTTTAATTTTTTTTTTTTTAATGTCCACCCAGCCTCCTACCTGGAGTGCTGGTGGACTTGTCCCTGGGGTCCAGTGGGGGCGGGCGCCTCTCTGCAGCTCAGCGCGCGGCGAGGGAGCTCTCTGCTCTCTGTTCTCTGCTTCCTCTCGCCGCGCGGGCTGTCTGCTCGAGCTGGGAGCCGGAATATGACGTCATATTCCGGCTCCCGGCATCAGCGCGCGGCGAGAGGGAGCAGAGAGCAGAGAGCAGAGAGCTCCCTCGCCGCGCGCTGACCTGCAGGGTGGGGGGGAATCATCACCTCTTGCCCTCCCATGACAGGGGCAAGAGGTGAAACAGGGGGACACTGAGTGCCTGCAGGAACAGCGTTCCTGCTCAAAAGAGTGCAGGAACGCTGTTCCTGCAGGACTCAAACCATAGGGGTGCGCACGGGGATTAGGGTGTGCCCAGGCACACCCGGCACACCCCGTGCGCACGCCTATGATACATACTTTAGATAGAGGTTAGGTTGTTCCAAATGTCTTTCATTTAAGAATTATGGAGACCAATGTGCTATTGGGAATCTCCAACGCAGTCAACTTGTTTATAGCCTTCCCCAGATCTGTGCCTTGACACAATCCTGTCTCTGAGCTCCGCAGGGAGATCCTTGACCTCATGATTTAGTTTGTGTTCTGATATGCATTTATAACTGGGAGACCTTACATAGACAGGTGTCTGCCTTTCTAAACCATGTCCAATCTTATTTGCCACTCGTGGTTTGCAATCAAAGTGTAGAAACATCTCAAAGATGATCCAGAGAAATGGGATGCATATGTACTAAACTTCAAGTGTCACAGAAAATGGTCTGAATATTTATGTCAATGTGACATTTCAGTTTTTTATTTTTTATTCATTTGCAAAGTTTAAAAAAAAAAATTGGGTTTCTGCTTTGCAATTATCAGGTAATGGGTGCAGAGTGATGTGAAAAGAAAAAAATTAAACAATTGTAGGCAACAGTTGTAACTGTTTAAATAATTTTTCTTGTCACATCAATCTACAATCAATACCCCAGAATTGCTAACCAAAAACAGTGACCGCCATACAAATATGTGGTCAGCCTTTTTTATGTTGCAGTTTTTGAATGCACTGCATAAAGTCATAACCACGTCAGAATATACCAGGCATAGGCAACCTTCGGCACTCCAGATGTTTTGGACTATACCTCCCATGATGCTTTGCCAGCATTGTGTGTGTAAGAGCATTATGGGGGATGTAGTCCATAACATCTGGAGTGTCGAAGGTTGCCTATCCCTGGAATATACCATGCATTTTCAATAGGAGGTTATATGTCCCAATTAGAGATGTCGCGAACTGTCCGCCGAACTGTTCGCTGGCGAACAATAGCGTGTTTGCGTTGGGCAAACATATCCGATTTCCGGTCCGCCCCCTATACGTCATCATTGAGTAAACTTTGACCCGGAACCTCACAGTCAGCAGACACTTCCAGGGAGGGAGGGTCTGCTGCTGATTGGGTGGAATGTGTCTGCTGGCTGTGAGGTTCCGGGTCAAAGTTTACTCAATGATGACGTATAGGGGGCGGACCGGAAATCGGATATGTTCGCCCAACGCGAACACGCTATTGTTCGCCGGCGGACAGTTCGCGAACAGTTCGGCTGACAGTTCGCGACATCTCTAGTCCCAATCTGTTTCTGCCCTCTGTTTGAGAATCCAACATGTTACATGTGAGCAATAGCTTCCTATGTTACAGGCAAAGCAAAATATATATAAAAACCAATGACAATGAGCAAAACCACATTTTTAACGAAGAAGATCACTGTGTTAGTTATTTCCATATCAACAAACATACAAATTTGAAAACATCCAAATGATAACGTATTCACAAGCAAGTCAATATGCAGGTAAAACCTTGTATAGATGCCCTTCCAAATTTTAATTTATTTTCTAGCTATTTGCCTAATTGATAAAAACCATACTGATTTAATGACTTAATAAGACCTGTTTAAATAATTCACACACCTTGACTAAGTTGCTTGTTTCAATTACACAAAAAGTCAACAAAAACCAATTCTGCACACATACATCATCATTATGCACTTCACAGTCTTTACCCTTGCTGAAGGACAACATGTGCTTCCAATTGATAATTTGGCAAGGCATCTGTTTTCACCACTCTGTAATCAAAAGGGCACAGGCAAGCTGTGATTTACACGAATGCTTTGTGATAATATAGAATTTGCTTTTAGCAGAAAAGATGTTTTATTCTTCTGTGTGATATCTAATCGTTAATGTAACGGTGAGTAACACTTTTTCCTGGAATAATCATCCAGTTATTCATTGCACCTTTATCACCTTTAATGGAGGACATCTTGTACAAAAAGAATAAATAAATAGTTGCCAAGGTTCCTTCAAACGTGCCACAAAACAGTACATGAACAATATAGCACATGCTCTGCACAAAGTATGACAACATCAGGTATGTATAACGCACTTCCACTGAAACCCCGGGCCCTTGCACATGAAATGGTTACTAAATGTTACCATCAGAAGGTCTTTTAAAAAAAACAAAAAACAAAGATGACAGAGCCACTTTAAGGCACTCTTGTTCTTTAAAATCTTATTGTGATGGTAGTCACCATCACCAGAAGTTTCAGATGAACATTTTATGTAGAACCTTTGACTACTCCTATGTCTAAGTCACCCTGTGCCCATTATAGGTGCACGGTGTGTATTATGTATTTATTGTTATTTTGAGTGCTCTCCTGTCCTGTTGATGCTTGCTATCAACTAGGTGGTTTTGGCTATGGAGCCTGTACAGCACCCTCTGTTGGTAGCAACAGCTATATGCACTACCTGAATAGCAAGGCTTGTTAATTTGCATATTCAGGTAGATTTGCATATTGACAATTCTGCAGACAGGAGAGATATTTTATGTTAATTATTGTCTTTCCCACCCCTTTATAAATATGTTGTTATGTTATTATAAGTTCCTGTATGTTTTCTGATATGAATTGCGACGACTGGGGCAGAAGCACTTCAGGTTTTCTGGTTCCAGCTAGGAAGCAAGCTTGGTGGAGGTACCCAGCCAGAGTACAGGGAGCTCTGTCACAATTGCACTCTTGTTCTTTAAAATCCCATATTTATGGCATATAACATTAATAATTTAGAGAATGGCCAGTTATGATAAAGCTAATGTCTGTCATACCAAGAAATTAATGATCAATGTGAGGCCATCTAGTGGTGTTTGAACTGCCAAATTGCATGTACTAAATAGAGCTGTCAAAGGATCATCAGTTGTATTTTCTAAACAGATAATGATAACAAAGACTAGAGACTGGAGAAGTAGAGTTGAGCGAACATTACGGTTTTTGGACCCCGGACCCGAACACGGACATTTTACTGTATGTTCGGGTTGGAGTTCGGTGTTCGGTGATTTAATGGCGTGTTTTGAAAGGCTGCAGGGCAGCCAATCAACAAGCGTTTGACTCGTGTGCCTTTAGAAGCCATCACAGACCTAAATTGTTCTTTCAGCCACATTTACTAATACTAAGTAAAAGTTACATAGTATTAGTAAATTAAGCCCCTACTCGCTATTCCTACGCTGTGTAAAATGACACAAAGCACTCTGATTGGTTAGCTTGAAAAAAATTTTTACACAGCGTGGGAAAGTTCTTTGGAATTTTCCAACGCTGTGTAAAATGACACAGAGCACGCTGATTGGTTACTTGCAATCCACCAATCAGAGTGTTGTTATGAGTCAAATTACACAGCGTGGGAAAATTCCAAAGAACTTTCCCACGTTGTGTAAAATGACACAGATCACTCTGATGGTGGATTTCAAGCTAACCAGAGTGTTGTGACAGGTAAATTTAGAAACTTACCTATCAGTCTCTTCATTTACCTGTCAGAGTACTCTTATTGGATGGCTTAAACCCACCAATCAGAGTGCTCTGAGCCTAATGTCAGAGCGGGGTAAGGCTTTATAAGCCTTCCCCCGTCCTGCACAGCTCAGTCTGCGCGGAGCCTTCCAGATGAACATGGATTTTATTTTGCACACTTTTTTTTTTTTTTTTTTTTAAATTGCGTTGATTTTTATCGATTTTTATTTGGCCTTTTTTGGGGCTGAAAAAAGAAGATTTTAGAAGAAAGAAGACATCAAATGGTAAGTTTATTTTTTTTTTTCAGGTATGTAGCTTATGGTCACCCCTCATTATTTTTAGCATAAGTGGGTAGGCAGGGGTTATTTGTTTGGGGAGAGGGGCGTGACGGGAGGGTTAAATTTTTATTTAGGGCCCACACCCACCGCCCAGGGGTGGGGGCCAGGGGGAAGGACAATAGGTCCCCACCCTTATTCTAACTTAGGGCCCCCACCCACCACTCGGGGGTGGGGGCCGGGGGGGAGGACAATAGGTCCCCCCTCCTTATTCTACATTTAGGGCCTCCACCCACCGTTCAGACCACTGGCTGCTCACTGTTTACTAGACACACCCCTACTCGCGGTATAGCGAGTAGGGGCTGAATTTACTAATACTAAGTAATCTTTACTTAATATTAGTAAATTTGGCTGAAAGACCAAAGACCAGCCTTTTGGTAGATAGCTTCCTAATACCGTGGGAATTAGGGAGTTATCTACTAAGCGGCTGCTTATTTTATGTTATTTTAAGTTATTTCCCTCTCCACATTTGTTTTCAGGGCACTTGTCCTACTCTTACCCCCATTTTACTTCCTTTTGCAGCCCTCTAGCCCTTTCCAGAACTTTTTTAGAGCAATTTTAGTGCCCAAAAGTTCGGGTGCCCATTGACTTCAATGGGGTTTCGGGTTCAGTGTCAAGTTCGGGTCAAGTTCGAGCCCGAACTCTAACTTTTTGACGAAGTTCGGCCAAAATCGTCGAA